CCAGCCCTGTCTGTGCTGTGGCAGTGCTCGTGTTTGACACCTGTGCTCACGCACTTCCCTACCTCCCTAGGCAGAAAAGCCACAGGCGCCTCTCCCGTGAGTGCTCTGTGAGGGGAGACACAGGTCTCTCCCTGCCGATGGCGCAGCACGGGCTGGTGGGCGGCAGCTGATGGGTGAGTGTGGGAGTCCTCTTGCCTTTGGAAATCAGTGGTGTCCACTGTCTTCCATCTGTCAGTGGTTCATCCTAACCGTAGCACACCTCTAGCCTCACTGTGCCCTAATACCCAAATAGTGTCCTCACCGGCCTCTGCCTGCTCCCCAGCCACGCTGGTCCAACGGGCTAAGGTTGCTTTCACCACCGTGGCTCCAGCATCTGCTGCAGGGAATGGACACAGGCGTGCTTGCTAAGGCAGGTGCTGGGTGAGTTTCCTGCTTACAGAAACAGACGCCAGGCTGTGCATCCAGAGGCCCCAGCCTTGTATTTAACACTGAGTTAGGGAGAGCAGGTACCAGAGTGGGTAAAGTAAGACACAGCTTCTGTTCTCTAGGAATCTAAAAAGCATGTATTTATGAGACAGATAAGTAGCCACAGGCATGGTTGGTTAGATACTAAAATTAGCCCTGTGTCTATTCTCATCCTTAACTGGGCACTAACATCACCTGCCAAGATTCGAGACATCACAGCGGCTTCCCGCTCGCCTGCCCTCTGAGATCTTGATTAGGTCTGTCTGCTTAGGGTCTGTGTTTATGGACAGCCCCCAGGGGATTCCAGGAGCATCCCGGGTCCGAATCACCGTACCCAGGGTTATGGGGCTGGCGGGCAGGTTCCTAGGACGCAGAGGGAGCTTGTTTTGAGCCATGGGTCACAGAGGGGCTCAGATGGGCAGCCTTGGAGAGAGATTGCGCTGGGCAGGAAGGGTGGAGCCTGTGGACAGAGCAAGCAGACACTGACGGTGCGTGGGGAGATGACAGCTAATGGGCACCTGGTTCCACACAGGAGAAACATGTGCAGGAGCTCTGTGCTCGGCCTCGGTGATCGCAGTTCATAGCAGCGAATCGTGTGCTTGAGGGCTCGGAGCAGGTGTAGTCGGCTCATCTCGTGCAAAAGGCGCAGCATGCACGGTGACTCGTGTGTTAGTTGGCTTGGCTCAGCTGTCTCACAGTGGGTACGCATTCCAGAACATCATGTGACTCATCACAAATGGACGGAAGTTTTATTTGCTAACTTCAGAACATGTTCAAATTGCTGAGATTTAAAGAGCCATGGCTGGAAATCAAGTGATGCCATCTGCAGGAAGTCTCGCACGGGGGAGGAGGGCAGGGGCGGCTCTGCAGGGAGCACCTGGCTACGGAGGGCAGGGCGGGAGGAGCAGCGTGGGGATCAGAGGGCGGGGAGGACGCAGCTGCCCTCGCCCCGGAAGGCAGGGCCTCTGACTGGAGTTGGTGCGCACACAGCAGCCTCTGCCAGATGTGGCACCAGCATGCGGTTTCCCTGGGCGGCTGGATGTTCCGGGCCAGCCCAGCTCTCTCAGGGGCCAGGACCCTCCCTGCCTCGGGAGGCGCTGTGGCCTCTCATTACCGAGGGCGCCTGTCTGCAGGGCAGGGCCACAAGGTGTGCATCACAGTGACTGTCCGCCCAGGCCGCCCTGCTGCCTGCACACTGTGGGAGCGCCTTGCCTCAGCCTCTGTCTCGGATCCCAGGTGTCTGAGCACCCCTCAGTGCAGGCCTCCGGCCCCAGAGGGAGGTGGCTGAGTCCCGCCCTCCTCCTGGCCATGTCCCTCAGCACTGAGTCCTCCTCTACTCGGGCGCCACGGCACCGTCTGTCACTGGATCCTCTCACTCGTGCCCGGGCCCCGGCTGGGGTTGGGCCGCACTCTCTAGTCTGATGACCTCCCCAGCATCCTCGAGTCTTGTCCCCGGCCTCTCCCAGGAGCCCTCGCACGGCTCTTTCTGGCTTGGTTCCCATCCTGCCCTTCTGATGTCGTCCTCACCACTGTCCTTCAGGGAGCAGAGCCCGGGACCCAGCTCTGGATGCTGGCCAGGGCTGGGCCTGGAGTCCTGGGGACAAACCTTCAGGGCGCTGGCAGCCCATCGACTTCGAGTCTCCTAACCCGTTCCCCGAGGGCCCTGCTTGCCCCAACTGGAGCACAAGGGTGTGGAAACTGAGCCCCCGGGTACTGGGCCTGCCCACCTAGAGGGCACGCCTAGCACAGGCCTCACCCTTCTGCCCACGCCAGCCTGCTGCTAGGACCTCCACACCCAGCAACCCTGCCACACCCGCAGGGAGCTCGCTGGAAAGTGCTGGCCCTGAGCTTGTTGGGAATGGGCTGGGAGCTGGGGCAGGGGCTGGTGTTCAGACCCAGCACCCAGACCAGAGCGACAGACAGAGGGCAGGCAGAGAACAGGTTGGCCTTCCTGCGGCCTGCCTCAGACTCATCCTGCAGAGGAGCCAGGGGCTCGGGCCTTCCTGCCTGGACTGTGGACATGGAACCAAGACCTAAACCGTAGGGAGAGAAGCTCCAGTATTATAATCTGCGTCTCACAGCCGGAGAGCCCTGGACTGTCTTCCACAGGAACCCACCCATCTTTGGCCTTGTTGGCTGGGGGTTTCTTTTGCTTCTGTGCCGGCCAGATTGAGTTATTGCTCTGGGATACATGGTCCAGCAGACCCAGGAGCTGGGCAACTGCAGGAGACACCCTGTGGACTTCTTTGCCCAGCCCAACAGCGGTCTCCGAGACTTCACACCCTCATCAGTGCCCATCCCCAGGTCGTTCCTCCTCCATCAGATCCTGTTCCTCTCATGGGCATGAGGATGAAATAAGACCCAGGCCCCCATGATGGGGTTGATGGAGGGGCTTCCTCCAGGAGCGGATGGGCAGTCCACACTGGGGAGCCCACCCTGTGGCCTGCCACCTCTCCTCCTCCTGAGTCCTGTCCATTGCAGTGTTCCAAGAAGATCCTCAATGAGGGCTGGATAGACAGGTCACTTCCCTTTTGTCCCTGGCCTATGAGAGTCAGTGCTGCTCATGGTCAGTGGGCTCAGGGCAACCAGGGGGCTCCTGACAGCGACTGATGCAGTGAGTGATATTGTGACAAGAAGGATCCAAGAACGCTGGACAAGCCAGTGCTTTGCTGCTCTCTAGTCTCTCTCTGCACCTGAGCTTTGTGCAGCTTGTGGACAGAGCCTGGAGCTCTATCCTAGGATCATGCAGACTGGAGAAGGGTGGAGTTCACGAGGAGCACGTGGTTGGATGCTCTGGGCTCAGAAGGTGGGTCATGGGCAGCCCTTGGGGTGAGCAAAGGAGAAGTTAGTGAAGTCAGTGGGCCTGGTCACTCTTTCCTTGAGCCGCACAGCAGAGACTGTGACAAGGAACCGGTACCTGGCTCCTGCTCGGCCTGTGGACAGATGTGCATACGGCAGGCGCTTGGCTCCAGGGCACAGCCGCTTCCTGCTGGAATTGCTTTGATTCTTGGTGCAATGAGATCTGCTTGCAAGTTACCTCAGTACAAGGAGGGCTGACCCCATCTCTGCCCCCAGAAGTGATCTCCTCTCAGACCATCCGCAGTGCATGCCTTGCTCATTCCCGGATGTCAGAACCCGTGGCCAGGGCCAGTGGTCCTTCCTGCCTCCTCCCTGAGGTTTAGTCACCTTGAAGCTCATTTTTGTCTTTCAGTGCTTTCCTTCCCCCTCCAGCGGTCCTCAGAGTGTGATCCCAGGGCAGCGGCATCAGGGTCACCTGGGAAATTGCTAGAAACACCAGTTCCCAGCTCCCTGCCCAAGATGGCCCAGACCAGAACCCAGGGTTGGAGTTGAGAATCCTGCATTACCTTACACACTCTGGGGAGATTCTGGTGCTTGCCAAGTGAGAAAAACCACTGTTCTAAGGCAACAGATCTTTCAATTAACTGCTGTGGAGATACAGGGCCAGAGACCAAGCCAACACCCAGTTCTCTTCAGTATGTAGTCCGTATAGTTAATACTCAGGTCATGTCTGAGGCCCACTCCATCACTGGAACCCGTGGCTGACACCAAGGTCTTTGGAAACTTACTTGCCAATAGCCCTCACGGAGATATTTGTCATCCTCCTGTACGCCAGATTCTCTAAAGTGATTTGGCTTCCTTGGCGTGACTCTTTGTCAAATCCCTCTCACTGCTGTTTCTCTAATGGACTCATTGAGAGACGCAGTGAATGCTTTGTTAACCATCTATTCTGTTCACTAATGAATCCGCATTGTCCACAAAGCCGGATGCTGTCAGTCATCAAGTGTTTCTGAATGGTCTCTTTGTCCCGCTGTGTGCAGTGCCCCTCGGAGCTCACCTGTTCATACCCTGGGGACTCACTTCCTAGCGTTGTGCCTGCTGCCTGTGCTCAGACTCAGATGATGATGGGGTTGTCCCTCTAGGCCCTGCCCTCAATGGTGACCTCCAGTCAGAGACCTCCAGGAATTCATGTGGCCAGGCCAGAGATGTCCTGCAGGGCGGGGGGGGGGGGGGGGCGTGGAGCACTGTGGGGTCCCAGGATTTGTCCAGCATCCTGCAGGCACCTTCTGGTCCCTGATGTGGGTTAGAATCCACTCCTTCGCCAGCGGTGCGTGACCCCTCCCCACTGTCCCGTTGCCCTCCGCTGCCTCCACATCTCTGACAGAAGCTGCCTTGGGGTGACCACTGTACCTCAAGACTCCATTTCAGCAAATGCGCTCAGCACTGCTCAAAGCTTGTGTACATCAGGTCAGCTCGGGGACTTGTGACAGTACACATGCTGGACTCCACGCACGGAGCATAATCCAGTAAACCTGGGGTGGGGACACAAACCGACCTTTCTAACACTCACAGGTCAGTCTGACCCAACCAGTCCAGGCACCAGGTTTTGAGAACCACTCATGGGCTAGGGAAAGGCAATGTCAGTGTCTTCCTGGCTCCTCCATTCTCCATTTATCCCTGTTCCATCCATGGCCTTTATGGCATCATAGCTCTCATGTTGCCAGGCAACGATGATCTATTGCTCGGGCAAGCAAAGATAACACGAGCCTTGCCGACTCCCAGAACTTTTATTGGACGCAGTGACTGACCCGGCTTCAGGAAAACGATTTAGTCCTGTGCCGAAAACAGAGTCCTTGGAGAGTGTTCAAACCAGCGTCCTTTAGAAACCCAGCGCTCTGAGGCATTTGCTGACAGACACCCGGACACATGTAATGGGATTATAGATCAGCCTCATTTAAGGTATAGTTGTTGGTGAGAGCAGAATTGCTCCCTGGAGGACTTAAATTAGGTACAAAGCAATTAACTTTAAGCAACCAAAAAATTGGCTCTGTAAAACTTCCATTTCCATTAGCTCCTAACCAGGAGCTCAGCACCAGGTGACTTCGAGTGCAGTGGTCACATGGGTCTCTGGGGACAGCAGCATAGTGCAGGCTCAGGTCACTGCCTCGGTGGGGACCGCAGGAGACGAGACCTGGCCTTCGAGGGCTCAGTCGTCCCCCAGGCTTTCTGAGATTCCTTGGCCTGAGAAGAAATCTGTTTGGGTTTCAGGTCTGCTGGTTTTTCAGCTGCACAGCCTTGGATGTGCCCGGTCTCAGCCTGGTTCTGTCTGCGCTGAGCATTTCAGGCAGCTTTGCTCCACCCCGTGTATTTTTATTTTCACAAAGAATTTGATGTGTTTGTCAGTCAGAGTATTAACAGATCATTGATCAATTATTGAGCTAATAAATCAGTGACAGTTATTAATTTGATATGATTATAAAATTCATGCAATTGCTTTAAGAAAAAAAAATGGAAAAACCGAAAGAAATCAAATGCCTGTGATTGCACAATCCGGATGTCATAGCATTAACTTTTCAAATGATCTTTTCTGAGAATGTGGCTGTGTCGATGAGCACAGCTCATAACCTTTTTTTCCCTGGAGCATCACACCCCTAGGCCACAGCAGCATGGTGTCCCTGCTCCACACACAGGGATGACGACAAAGGAACAGCAACTGGAGCCTGTGGGCGTGGCTGAGGTGACTTATGCATGAGAGGCAGCAGGTCTTTTGAATTAACCGCATCAGAGGAAAAAAGTAAAAGAAGAATGAGGATCAAAGTAAGCAGACAGGACCTGTGGGACCCCAGCAAGTGAGCGGGGACCCCAGCAAGTGAACAACATCCACCCTGTCAGAACCCCAGAGGCCGACAAGACAGAGAGAAGCATAGGGCAGAGTGAATGAAGGAAGAAGTAGTAAAGATCAGAGCATAAAATAATAAATTGAGACTAAAAAATGCTAAAGATCAATGAAAGAAAGAGTTGGGTTTTTGTAAAGATAAGTGAAATTGACAAACTTTTAGCTAGAGTAAGAAAGAGACAAATCTCAAATAAATAAAATAAGAGACTAAAAATGGGCCTTATAACATCTACTACAGAAGTACCAAAGATAATTAAGGGATGCCACAAACCACAGTGTTAAGGGTGTATCTAGATGTCTCCCGAAAGCCTCATGTGCTCATAGATGGGGCTTTGGGAGGTGGCTGGATCTAGGGTGTGTGATGCTGGGTTAAGGTCGTGTGATTACTAAATCAGTCCCCTGATTGTTTGAGCATAGTTCTGGGTGAGGATAATGGCACCCTGGGTGCTGTATTTCAGCGCAGACAAAATCATCTCTCAAAGGATCAAAGACATAAATGTAAGACTCAGTACCATGAAATTACTATTAGAAAACACAGGGCAAGCGCTTCAGGACATTTGCATGGGGAAAGTTCTTTTTAAAACCCCCAAAGCAAAGGCAGTGAGTACAACAGTTAAGCCATAGGGTTATATCAAACTCCAAAGCGTCTGCACAATAAAGGAGACCAACAGCAGAGCTGAGAGATAACCTGCAGAACAGGAGAAAATATCTGCAAACTGTTGGTTCGACAAGGACTTAGTACTCAGAACGCATAAAGGACTTAACTGCGTAGCACTCACAATAATTAAAGTAATATTTGTTGTTTAAAATGGGCAAATGATCTGAATAGATGTTTCTCAAGAAAGATGTGCAAATGGTCAAAGCGTATGTGAAGAGTGTAACTCAATATCAGTAATTTTCAGGGAAATGTAATCAAAGCCCCAGTGAGACACCCTCTCACCCGAATTGGAACAGTTATTATCAAAAGACAAAAAATACTAAGTGCTGTCCAGGGTGCAGAGAGGGGAGCGCACGCGGGCGCTGCTGATGGGAGGTAAAGTGGCACAGCTCCTGCGGAAGTGGTGGAGCCCCTCTAGAATCTGGCTCACAGCTGCCCTGTGACCCTGCAGCTGTACGTCCGGTGTGGACCAGAGCGAAGAGGTCAGGGTGGGAAGGATGGCTGCGTGTCTTTGGTGGTAATCTGGGGGACCGGAGGGCGCCCTGTCCAGGAGACTGCCTGGATGCACAGGGAGATGCGGAATTCAGGTTACTCGATCATGTAGGAGTAGAGAAAATGACAGTCCCTTGAGAAAGATTTTATTTCTGAGTAGAATCTATTCATGGGAGCGAAGTCACTGTGTCTAAAGACAGAGCAGTTTTGAAGCCTTTTCGACATTTTCCTGGAAAGCCTGTGTCCGGCCCTGTGAGAGGCACCAACACGGGGTCCTGGAGCATTTATCATTCAGTCCCAGGTGCCCTTTGGTGCACGGGACTAGAGGCTGGACTCAGGGAAGTGCCGCTTGTCCCAGAGTGAGCCTGGGTCACTCGGCACGGCGCCGCTTGCTAAACCTCCCTGGTGAAGCCCCTTTCCCTATGGTTCCTTGGCAGCCATCAGTCTGGACTCATCCGACCCTTCAAAATCATGCAGTTGCCTTAGGTCTGCTCAAAACGTCCAGTGGGCCTTGCCGTCCGCTGGCTCCTGGGACCTGCCAAGTCCCTCCCAGCGGGGCTCCTCGATTTCCCCTGTGTGTCTTCTCCCCTTCCAGGAAGACGCTTTCCTTGAGAGTCATAATTTTATTTTATTGCAAATGATATTTTCCTCCATATTACTGTTTTGTTGATATTTTTAATGGCATACCCCAAACTATTAATTTTTATATATTTACTTTGTACATAGCGATTTTATTAAATTTCCTTATTAATTAAAATTTCCCCAATGATTTTCTTTTCTGATCTCTTTTTTATTACCAAAAAAGACTTCCAAACATGGAAAAAAAGAATAATGTAATGAATACTCATGTACTTATCGATAAATTTAATGACTTTTTACATTTTCTTGGAATGTTACCCCCAAAATCCAGAGATGAAACATCACTGACAGATTAGGAAACTCTGGCACATGACTCCCTGGCACCAGTCCCTTCCTTCCCTCTCTCAGAAGTGACCATGAGTGAAAAATTCCTTCTTATCCCTCTTTGCTGGGTTTATACTTGCTACTTATGTTTTAGTTAAAACTCTGCTGTCACTATGTTGTAAACTGCTACGAAGCTGGGCGTGATGTGCATTCCTATAACCCACACCAGGAGGCTGAGGCAGGAGGGTCGAAAGTATGAGCCCGGCATAGCAGCTTAGTGTGACCCTGTCTCATGGCAAGAACAACAAGACAAGGGCTAGGGATGCAGCTCAGTGTGAGAGCCTTGGGTTCAATCCCCAGGACTGAAACGGGAGGGAGCTATTTTGTGCTATTTTGTGCTATCCACAGTGCCCTGCTGTGGTAGCTACCATTTGACTTCGCAGCCGCCACGCTCATGATGTGCTCTGTGTCTCCACAGGAACTTTCCAGCAGCGAGATATTTCACAAGCTCGCTTGACTTCTCTGGGTACAACTGTGACATCAATTGGGAGCAGGCTGCTTACTGCTTCTAGCACATTTTCAAAGCTACTTGAGTCTGAGGGCCGTGGAATTCATTCTTATGCTTTTCATGGCAATTGCATAATGAGAGGCCTGACTGGCAGAGAGAGCCAGGGAAATGGAGATAATTGAAGAGGGAGAAGACCTGAGGCCCCAGGCTCGCGAACAACTCCCACAGAGAAGGAACCACCTCTGCTCCCATCTCACCCCAGCAGCCTTCCTGGGGTCTCCGTCCGGGGATCTGCGTGGACCCCTCATCAGGACTGGACCACTCGTAGAGCTTTTCTCTGGACACCTTTTCCTCCAAATGCCTCCAGACTATTCTTTGAGTAGGTTTCCTCTATCTTTGGCCCAGCTGATAATGATGAAAACAATCACCATTTTTGTTGTTGTTGTTCTGAAGATTGAATCCAAGGCCTTCCCACTGAGCTACATCCCTAACTTAAGATCCTCCTGCCTCAGCCTCCCAGAATGCTAGGATTACAGTCACGTACCACTGTGCCCCACTAAAACTCAAAAGGGCTGGCAGAGGGATCACATTTTAAGATGTCTTGGTGGCTTGCTCCAGGTGGCCTTCCATGGTGGGAGAGTTTGTTGTCAAATCTCATCACGTCCATTAGTCACCTGTGGGGACAGGGCACAGTGGCTGCCCTGGACTCTGGGAGCCACTGCCACGTAAGGAAACATTCCATTAGTTTCTCTTTGCAAGGCCGAGGACTCGAATGTGCTGCCCCTTTCTGTACAAGCTACAAGGGTGGTGGCAGTTGTGTTACGGATAGGGAGAGCTGAGGGCAAGCGTTTAGGATGCCAGCGGCTCTCTGTGCTTCTAGGGAGACAATGAGGCCCCCGCTGCTGGGGCAGAGCAGGATGGGGGTGGCCATCTGGGATTAAGGGTTGGGATGCTGGTGGCCCACAGAACCTCTCCTGGACCTGCACAGGCTCAGTGGTGTGGATCCAGTGTGTATCAGTCAGCTCTGCACTGCTGGGACCGAAACCCAGACCCAGCACCCAGCTCGATGAAGGAGGGCTTTCTTCTGGCTCATAGTTTCTGAAGGTTTGGTCCATGGTTGCCTGGCTCCAAGGCAGAAATATCATGGTGGAGGAAAGCTGCTTGTCTCATAGGAAGCAGAGAGAGAGAAAGGGGCCAGAGACCAGAACATACCCCCAGAGGCTGGCCCTACTTCCTCCAGCCAGACCGCCTCCTGAGAGCACAGACAGCTATGAGCTCATGATGGGCGAATTCCCTGATGAGCACAGCACTCCATGATCCAGCCACCTTGGAAAAGCCCCATCTCTGAACTTTGGGGGGCATTTTTGACCCAAACCATAACAGGCGACAGGGGCCATGCAGAACCAGGGGGACATGCACTCCCAGAGAAATACAGGGTCCGGGGTCACTGTGCAGAGGCAGCAAGGAAGGGGCCTGGAGGAGGTGAGCACCACTGTGAGCTCCGGGCCAAGTCAGCCGGCGGCTCTGGGCCTCCCTCCTGCTGCAGGGCGAGCCCTTTCCTTGGCCAAGAAGCAAGTGGCTCAGTTCTCTTATAAGTGGTAGGTGATGATGTTTTCCTTTCGTTGCCAAGTTCATGGGGGCGTGTGGGGACTGTCATTAAGTATTTCTCTAAGACATAGTTTTTATTACTCATGAATGCTCCATAATTGACCTCGCCATTGCCTTTTGAATGTATTTCTCATAACTCTGAGATGAACATCTGTGCATACCAATTTCCCCATCCCTGAAGTGAGGTTGCTGGATTGAAGGGAGAAGACTTTAGATACATCTTCCTCCACCGATGTCTTGAGAATTGTGCTGGTCGGTGCTCCCAGCGGCAGGTGGAAGGGGATGAAGGGCTCCTGAGTCTTGGGATGTGGGCAGGGGAGGAGGCACTGGCTGAATCCGGGGCTCTGGGAATGGACGGGGTGCTTGTGGGATGAGGACAGGGCTCACCCAGCCCCTTCAGGGACAGGCTTGCCCAGCTGCAGCTGAGCACATGGAGCCACATTCGATGTCACACGGCAAGTGCTTCCTTCGTTCACTTAGCAGCTTTGCTCCTGGGAACCATGAGGCCCTGAATGGCAGGTCGGAAGCCAGCCAGAAAGAGGCCAACGATGGACTCCTCTCTGCAAGTGTGTGGCTCTGGGGGTCCTGGGGGAGCCAGAGGGCATGTACCCAGTACCTGGGTATATAATAAGGGGGACCTCACCCCAGTAACCAAGTGTAGCAAAGAGCAGGTGCACACCTATACCCGGGTATCGCAAAGAGGAGGTGCACTTCATACCCAGGCATATAAAGGAGGGCATGGCCCAGCTCCCAGGTTTAGTAAGGAGGGTGGCGCCCCAGGACCCAGACACATGCCAGGTCTGTGCATCCTCTGCCTCAGGGAAGACCCTGTGCACCGCTGCTGCTGGGGTCGTCTCCCTCTCTTTCTCCACTCACTGGCTCCTCCGGGAGGCATAGCTGAGCCCATGGTGTCAGGCACAGTGAAGGAGAGGGTGTGCACAGTTGAGCTGTCAGCTAGGGTGTCTGATACAGCCAGGGAGCAGGAGCAGACCCGTGCTGTGCAGATGCCAGGGCCCTGGGGCTGGAGCCTTTGTCCCAGGGCAGTGATAAGATGCTGACCATTGTGGAGGACGGGCCATCTCTGTCCACAGGAAGAGAAGGGGCAGGCCAGGAAGGCAGGAGAAGACCCCTGGCGACTCAGACCACGGTGGAGACAGGGACTGGGGACAGAGGCAGGCAGGGCCACAGGGGCAGGAAGTGAGGCTGTGGGCTGCAGTCTCTGTGCTCTGCCACGGGCTGCAGCCCATCCTGTAGGGAAGCCTCCCTGTGGCCTCTCTGAGGTACCATTCTGGTGGAGAGGTTGCTGGCGGCAGAGGAGTGGCTGGACAGGGGAGAGAGGCAGTGACTAAAGTCATGACATAAAGACGTCTTGTGGTTAAACACAATTTTAGCAGAGGCAGGGACAGAAAAGGAAGGGAAGAAATGAGCAGAGATGGTGAGACGCTCATGGTGGACAGAGAAGGGGCCAGAAGCCAGGGCAGCTGTCACTGCAGAGAATGCCAGACAGCCAAGAAGGTCCCAAATATTAGAATAATGTCATTACTGCCCTTACCTAGTCAGCCGAAGGGCCCGCGTGATCGATGCTCTTTCTGGGCCTTTTATTAAGTTTTCATCATTGTGCTGCCTGCGCAATCCACTGCCTTGGGGAACATTTGAGATTTGAATTTGAAAATGAGATTCACAAAATTAGATATTCTTCATATATATTTTTTTCTTTCTCTAACTCCAAACTGAAACAAAAGTTTATAAAGGACAAGATCTTGGATCCGTCAGACCTCAGCTGCGAGAGAGCAGAGTTTTGGTTCCCAAGCAAACAGTGTCACCAGACCCAGTGAGCCCGACCCAGTGAGCCAAGGCTGGACGAGACTGAAGCCGGGCGAACTTGGAGGCCTCTGCAGGGTTCCCAACACTGTTGTTCGCAGGGGGCTTCCTTGCCACCGATGAGTCACCTGACAACTTCTTTAAAAAATTATGGGTAAAATACAAATAACATAAACATTTGGCAATTTCACCAACTCTCAAGTGAACGTTGTGTTGCGTTAAATACGTTCACATTACTGGGCAGCCACACCACCATCTGTTTCTAGAAATCTAGAACTCAGAGTCCTGTGGCCCTAATCTTTCCTCTTCCCTTGCCCCTGGCCATCGTGACCTGTGCAAGTCTCTGTCCTTGGATCTGTCTGCTGTGGCACCTCTGCAAGTGGGGCCTGCATCTCTGTTCTTTCCCGACTGGCTGAGGTGTGTCTGTAAGCCCAGCTGTGCTCTGCGTGTTGACGGGGAACTAAGCATCCGCTCTCAGCAACATGGTCCTCCAGAAAATCTTCAGTAGGTACTGAATCCCCGCCGCGGATTTAGTAGGGCTTGGATGTCTTGAGAAATAAGACTTTGGAAAAACACATCATTATCTTGGCCCTTAAGCTTCCAATTCTGTAGCTCAGGAGGCAAAGTGAACACACATGACAGGTCCCACACACCACACACACAGGTGTTCATGTAGACCCTGACCCTGTGAATGTCACGTGGCAGTGGAGGCTCTGGAACAGCTGCTGCAAAGATGATTCCAGAAAAATTAAATTATGTTATGCAACTCCAAGAGCATTTAGAGACACAGTATTTAGTGAATTGACTTGGAGAATTCTTTATGTGGGTCACTGGTTTGGAGGAAATATTCATTTTTAAAAATCTAAATACATATTAATTATCCAGGGATTTTTTTCAAATGGGAAGTAGGAACAGAGTCTCTCTCTCTCTCTCTGTCTCTCTCTCTCTCTGTCTCTCTCTCTCTCTCTGCCTAGTCACTTTAGATATTTCATTGAATCCTGCTAAAAAGCAGTCAGGTATTTGCCATCTGTCCTGAACAGCTGCGATTTTCTTCCTATTTGAGCACAGCATTTTATTATGGAGAAATTGGCATATTGTGCTTGTCATTTGCTTTTTCATATCCTGGTCCGTGGCTAGACTGATCCGCAAGAAGTCGCATTGTGTCCGGGCTCCTGTCTTGGTCAGGTGAATGCAAGGGACATCACATGCTTCCTCTCACCACATTAGCAGTAACTTGCTTTGCCAGACTCTGATGCTTTTGATGTGAGACATCTGTGGCAGTGTTGTTTATGAATAGAAGCGAAATGTAAAAATACCCACAGGACTTCCTGTTAAATGTATTGGATTGAATGCCAATATTTATATCTGCTCCTTGTGAACTTTTGTTAAGATGAAGGAGGAAAAAAGATACAAATCAATAATGAGGTTGAGAACAGGAAAGATGATCTCATAAAATAAGAAATATTGACACATTTTGGAATCTGGAAACATAAAGATGAGTGGGAACCAATGTATCAGAGCCCAGACAGAATGTGAGGACGGGGGTGAAAGAAATGGGTCTCAGAGGGTTTCAGGACCCGGGAGGGGTTAAGCGCTGCAGGCAGGAGGTATTGTGAGGCAAGAGAAGATGGGGCTTCACACGGGGGCTGGCAGAAATCAGTGCAGGAACCTTAATGCCCCAGCCTCGGCCACCTGCCTCCCGCAGGAGCCCGGAGGCTTCTCCTGGAGACAGACACTTGACCGGAAGTCTCCTCCTCAGCATCAGGCACAGCACAGGGCCCGGGGAGAGCACCAGCCGAAGGCAGGCCAGTCCCACACTGTCAGCTGAGGGGAGCCCTGGACCCCCAGAGTCCTGATGCCAGGCCTGTGGCTTCCCAGAGAGACACACGGGCTCGGAATGCTTAGGGACACTGGAAGGCAGGCCCCTCCCTGGGAAAGGACGGCCCTCATGAGCACTCTAGGGTCAGTGAGTCCACCGACTGGCAGGGGACATCCCACGCCCCTGCACCGCCCAGAGCCTCCACATCTACTTCTGCCCTCCCTCACGGCTCCGATTCTTTTATTACACACGGAGTATTCTGTTCACTGTAATAACCTGGACACTGTGAAAACACTTAAGGAAGAAAATAGAAACCACCATATTTCTACTTTCTATAAATAACTGTCACATATATCTTAGATATAGGTTCTGTCTATGGCATATATATTATTTTCAATGATCTCTATTTTTATGTAGTCTTCTACCAATTTAACAATGGACCATTAACTCCTTTCCCTGCCAGTAAATAAACTCTTATGAAATTATTCCTTATAGCTGAACAGGGTCCGCAGCTGAGTGTAACATAATTTATTCTGTTAATCCCTAATATTGAACTTTGAATTGTGTCCAATTTACCGTATAATAAACAACCCTGGAATTAACACGGATATTTGCAAACACGAGTACTTGCTTCCTGGGGAGTATTAGAAGGCTTGTGGGCTCCAAAGTGTATCATCATATCTTTTGACTGCATCAATGGATCATTAAACCTGCTTGGTATACTGGTGGCCCTTATCATTAAAGACCAATAAAACCAGCCAAATGGTTTTTGTTTGGGGGGAGGTTAGCCCGATCATAAATGGACTTTTCACCCAACTCTTCGGGTGAACATAACCCTAGGTCAGCGTCGTCACAGTTACAGAACGGCTCCCACCAGCTGCTGTGCCGATCACCATCCCACTCTGGGCACTTTGGGGCTGGCTATCTCTCCATTCTCTCCTCTCCCTAGGAGCTGGAACCTATAATGCTTTGAAAGAAGAACAGACAAATAAGAGCATCAGCAGAAAGGCAGGCAGGGGGGAGAGGCAAATGTCCAGGCAGCTCGCGGCTGTTAACAAATCACCCTGGCCAGTCATCTCTTCCTCGCCTGGCCCCAGAAGCCGAGGACTGTGTACAGGCAGGAAGCTCTTAATGAGGCTGTGTTGGAGCCTGTGTCACCAACCCCTGGCTACAGGTGGTTGAAGCCTGGAGCTCACAGTGGGAAGTTACAAGGCTGTGCTCACTGGGTGCTGAGTCAGTTCTGATACCAGGCAGTGTGACCTCCCGAGAGACAGGGCTGAGTCGAAGGCCCCACCCTCCCATCTCCCCCCAGTGACTTCTGTCTTCTCCTGCCTGGGGAAGTGAGCACAGGTCTCTAGATCACGCCAGCCCTCCTGTAAAGAAACAAATCCTCAACCAGCTAGGGGGAAAGAAGTGTCCATTTTCTTCATATAATTGGCTTGCGTATCAGGGAGACAGAATCTAAGTTATTGCACATTGTCAATATTTGACCTCTGGGATAGATGCTTTCCTTTTGTAATGCACTTAACCAAAGCAACAGTATGACACAGGGTAACTGCCTGGTGTGGGAAACTGAGACTTAACTAGGCTGAGCTGCAGCTTCAAGTCACACAGCCAGTTCGTCTCTGCTGCCCTTTGGATCTTAAATGTCTCAAAGGCCTACATGCTTATATCAAAGACAACATGTGTGTTGAAGCCTTGGTCTGCAGCTTGGCCCCATTTGGAGGTGGTAAAAAACTGAAAGGTGAGGCCTAGTGGGAGGTCTTGAGGTAATTGGGGGCATGCCCTTAAAACAGGGATAGCAAGAGACAGGCTTCTCCCTCCCTGCCTCCCTCCCTCCCTCCTTGCCTCTCCCTTTTTCTCTTTCTTTGGCTCATGAAGCAAGCAGATTTACTGCCTTGTGTGCTGCATGCCCAAAAGGAACAAGCCAACCAACCATGGACTAAAACCTCTAAAACCATGAGCCCAAATGAAACTTGTCTCTTTATAAGTTGATCATCTCCAGTATTTTTCACAGCGAATGACCACTGACTGACTCAGGGACCCAGAGGAGTTGTCAGCCAAGGTCTGCTTTATTGACACGTTGGCCCACACAACACCAGATTCTGAGCAATGGCAGCTAATGTGGCTGCTGGCAGCTAATGTGGCTGCTGGCAACCATGTGCCATGCCCAGCAGAAGAGGTGAAACATGGCAAGGCCATGTGAGTGTACAGCACCAGACAAATGTTCCCACCACCATTATGGTAACATTTATCCCTGCTGGGGGTGAGGCTGCATATGTCACAGAGTAGACCAATATCCAGAGCCACCAAGTACTGCAAAAGCAGGGCTGAGGTCAGCAAAGCAGAGAGATGCATCCCCAGCTGAGCCTCAGGTAAAGATGGCACTTACCTCTTTTCCACCTCTCACATCTCTGATTTTCCATTCTGTGTCTTACTTAGCTGCAGGAGGACTGATGATTTTGATGCATAATCTGAGTAGCAATCCAGTGTTTGCTACCATCCATCAACTGTGCACCATCAAAGTGTGTAACAACTTACTAAAGTGTTATTTTAAAAGTTTAATATTTGAATATGTAACTGGCCTTTTAATATTATTAGGAAAAACTAAATCATCTTTATTGATAGGATTTTAATTGCATATTTCAGAGATGGAAATTTACCCAAGACTCATTGATAAATGAAAAGAGTCAATTCCAAAATTAGAAGTGTGTATGATTCCACTAATGTATTTACATGTGTATAAAGAGAAGAAAGGTGCATAGGTGAGGACACGTGGCAGAGCAAAGCTGCTCATGCTGTGGAAGCAGGGAGACAGGGAACAAGGGGAGGAGCTCGGTTCCCAGGTCCCCTTCAGGGGTGTGCTGTCAGTTTGTAACTTCCCTCAGCAAGGCTCCATGTCCAAAGAAACACAGCTGGGGTTTGCCTTCAATACATGAGCCCTTGGGGACATTTAGAATCCAAACCATAATACTATACAAGGCAGATTGTCATAAAATTAAAAATAAAGTCATGATGCTAAGAGATACCAGAGGGAGAATAAAACATGACATGTACAATCTGGAAGTAGAATGGCATTGGCCTGCTTACAGCAACACCAGAAATTCAAAGACAGTGAAGGAGTGTCTTCAAAGTTATGGGGGATTTGCCCCTTCTAATGCTATACCCAGCCAAACTATCCATCAACCGTGCTGCAAATGAGATAATAAAGATGTTTTCTGATGTGCTGAGGTTCAAAATTTTGCTCTCATGCTCCTTTCCTCAGGAAACTTTTGGAGAATATGTTTCCTTTAGTAAAGTAGTAAATCTAAAGTGGGCAGGCATGAAAA